AGCCCAAGTCACAGTGATGTTCCCTCTGTGCCCAGGGGCAGCGTCCAAAGCCTCATCTAAATCTCTTGGCCTTGCAGGACTTCCTCCGAAATATTCCCTCCAAACTCCTGTCGGCTGACCTCTATGAGAAGTGGATGCAAGCTCTGGAGAAGCCAAGCAAGCAGGAACAAATTGAAGAATTGAAAGAGTAAGTTTTGCAACCGGGAAGTTTTGCAACCAGCCCCAATGTGATGGAGCGGCTGGTAGAGGCCAACGATGTCTCTCAAAATTGAGAGTCTCATGTAAAAACCTGTCATTTATATCAGCTTGCTTTTGCTCCATGGGGTTTGGTCTAGAGGGCTCTAGCAGCAGCAGCGTTTCCTGCAGGTATCTGGGACTGCCCTAGGACACGACTAGCATAGGAAGAGGAGAGAGGCCGCAGTGCCTCAGCTAACGTAGTCGGTGCGCTGTGGGACAGGCGCTGACAGGGAGCCTTCACATCTGCTGGCAGTGAAGTCGGGCACGTGGAGACCACGGCCGTGTTTTGCTCTTTAGAGAGCAGACGCGGAGGCTGACTGGGAGTGCTTTGAAAGATGCAGAGCACAACCGCAGGCTTTCGTGTGCCTTCGGGAAGCCTCCCGTGACATCTCCTGGTGCCATCTCATCTACTCAAGGACATGGACTGCTATAATGCTTGCCTTTCAGTCAAGATCTCATCATTCAAGACAGTGAACCACACGCTCAGCTGCTGTTGGGGATTTCTGAATGATACTTCTGCTAGGCAGTGAGAAAAGCACACGCATGCCTCTCTCTGGAGGAAGCATCATCTGTCTGGGTTTAATTGCGACTTGTGCAAGTAAAGAAGTAGCGGCTGCTGCACCGTGAATTAATGTCACATTTTGTTTCTGTTCATGCAGGGTGGCTGAGAAACTGCCTAGACCAAACCTCGTCTTGCTCAAGCACTTGCTGTCTCTGCTCCACCACATCAGCCAAAACGCCGAGACCAACAGGATGGACTCCAGCAATCTGGCCATCTGCGTCGGCCCAAATATGCTGAGCCCAGAGACGGACAACGCGCTCCCGCTGGAAGTGCAGAAGGAGATGAATGACAAGGTGTGTTGAGCTCACCCAGCAGCCACCTGCTTCAGGGCAGCTCAGAGCCCTCCATAGGGATCCCAGTGCCATCGCAAAAGCTGAACAAAACACTGCCCCTGGACATCGGGGGTGCCCCTCAGCTCAACGTGATGGGCAAGGCTGCCCCTTGTCTCACCTCCTCTGAGCAAAAGCAGCAGTTGCCTTGTAGTCCCCTACGTCCCATCACAGCTCCTGACTACTTTGCACGCAGAGAGCAAGGGGCACCCGGTGGGCATTGCCACCCACAGGCCCTCTGGACAGTGAGGCTGATGCTGGGGCTGATGGCGTTTTGTTTGTATCGGGGCGGATCGATTGGTCTGCAGCATC